GGGGCTAGGACCGAGCTTCTCTCTCACCAGGGTCACAGAATTTTCCTACTGACCTTCTAAGTTGTCTTTGGCATTTGTGGGTTGGTAAGTCTGGAAACCATGACAGCTGCCCGTGATTCAGTCCTCTTGAGGTCTGATTTGCCTGCGTGCCCCTGCTGAACTGCATTTTGCTCCCAGCCCTGCGCAACAGACCTTTCTAATCAACCATCTAAGTTGTCTTGGGCTGGAAATTTGTTTCACTCTGTTTTTTTGCTTTTTGGTAAGGCAATAGGGGTGAGTGACTTGCCCAGGGTCACACAGCTAATAAGTGTCAAGTATCTGAGGTTGGATTTGAACTCAGGTCTTCCTGTCTCCAAGGCTGGAGCTCTATCTACTGAGCCACCTAGTTGCCCCTCAGCTAGCATTTATTAAGCACCTACTATGTGGCAGGCACTTTGCTAAGTGCTGGAAATACAAAGCAAGGCACAAAAACAGTCTTTGTCCTCAAGGAACTCACAATCCAATAGGAGAGACTATACAAACAACTATCTAAAAACAAAATATATGCAGTACAAGTAGAGTTTGATCTCAAAGAGAAGGCACTAAGTTTAAAAAAGACTGGAAAAGGATTCTTACAGAAATTAGAACTTGGGCCTTGAAGGAATCCAGGGAAGCCAGTGTATAGAGATGAAGAGAGTATTCCAGGCATTGGGAGATGAAATGTCCTGTATAAGGAACAGCAAGGCCATTGCCACTATCACAGAGCACACTTTTCATCCTTTGTCTTTACTTTCCTCTCCCCCTTTCCCCCATGCAAGTGATTAGAGATGTATTTTCTCTTAAGGGCTGCTTTGGCTGTATCTTAAAATTCTGGTATTTTGCATTAGTATTGTCATATTTAATGAAATCATCTATCATTCCTATAATTTCTTGTGAGGGATTGTCTGATGTTGGCTACTGCCAAGTCGGGGTTGTGGCAACTTGGGGCGGGAACTGGGTATTAGGAAGTAACCGGAGCTCACGCTCCCGAGGCAGGGGCCGTGCTAGGCGGAGTTGTGGTGAACTGGGATGGGAACTGGATACGGAGAAGTAACCGGAGCTCACACTCCTGAGGCAGTGGGCAGTGCTATGTGGAGCTGTGATACGCTGGAGAAGGAACAGGATACAAGGAAGTAGCTGGAGCACGTGCTCCTGAGGCAGGGGGCTGTGCCATGTGGGAGTGGGACGGCAGAGAACGAGTTCCTTTGTCTAGCCCCCTCCCGAGGTACAACGCTAACCCCAGATGCCTCCTTCCTGTGTCCAAACCTGACTTCCTGGGTCATGTACTTTCCCTTTGTCTATGCACTAACCCCAAACATCTCCTTCCTGTATCCGGTCCTAGCCTCCTGCGTCACTTCCTCTCCCTTGGTGCGCTAAGCCCAGACATCCCCTTCCGGTATCTGATCCTACAATCAATGACTAGTAGGCGGGCTGAGGAGGAGGGGCTAAGTAGGTACTTAAGGAACGGTAGGGATCGGAGCTCGCTCTCTCTCTCTTTTTTGCTCCTGCTCTCTTGCTCTGGCCTTCCTGCTTGGCCTTGCTGTGATGGCCTCTGAATAAAGCTCGAGTGTTGGCACCTCCTGATCGGCTCGTCTCTGTGTTTATCCGGGTGGGCACCGAAGACTGGTAAGTAGTATGACCTTGGCAGCCTGCTCCTTATAGGAGGAGAGTGCACAGCGCGGCCGGCACAATTTCTCCCATCACCAGTTCTTTAGAATTTAGTTATTCAATCTCCAATGGACTTTAATCTTTTTTCACTGACCCATTAAAAATATGGCTTTCACTGTTGTCATTAAAGAATGTATATGAGAATTCTGGTTTTCTGAATTTGTGAGGATTGTGTGTCCAAATATATTATCAATTTTTGCTAAGGTTCAAACCCAGGTGAGAAATATGTATACTATTTTAAATACCCATTCAGTATTCAAAACTGTCTAAGATACCTAAATTTTCTAAAAGTATATACAGGTCATGACTTCTTTCTTATAGTTTGGATATATTTATTTAGGGGTAAAAGGTTTAATCTACTATATTTTTACTGGCCATCTGTCTTTGCAATTCATTTAATTTTTCCTTTGTCTTTAACTGTGATGTCATTCAGCACACATATTTTAAGTATTGAAATTCAATGTGATGTCATTCAGCACACATATTTTAAGTATTGAAATTCAATCACTATGTTGCCTTTCTGAAAAAGTTTCATTTATCTTTGAATTAAGTCTATTTTTGCTGTTGCCTTGTCTGAAATCACAATTAAGTCAACAGTGATACATCTAGCCTACAAGCCAGGGTGACTGGGAGTATGGTGGTCCCCTGGACAGTAATAAAGAAGTCAGGAAGGGGAGAGTTGGGGAGGAAAGATTGTGATGTACCTCACTTTGGGGGCAAGAGAAGTTTTTCTTGTTTTGCAATATTGAGGTAATATAATGCATACCACAGGGAGGTCTGCATACAGTACATTGATGGTTCATAGATGAGGGACAAAATTTGCTTAATAAACTATTTGAGTTTAGAAAAATGCAAGAATGAGGAAGTTGATTTCCAAAAGTCGTGGATGGAAAGAACAATAACATACCAGAGAACCAAAAATAAATGTAACAAAAATTTAAAGATCAAGTGGATCTCAAATGGAAGAGATATGAAGAGATACTCCCAACCTACACCTCAGTGGAGGTGGGGGGTCCACAAATGTTACACACAGCACGTTTTTGGATTTTCTCAATGTATTGATCAATTATGCTGTTTATTTTTCCTCTCTAAAAATCAACCAAACCGCTGTTTGTCTTATGGGATGGCTCTCATGGGAGATGAAGGAGGAACCACACATGGAATACAATGGTGATGTAAGATACAGAAAACAGCAATAAAAATTATCTTTACGAAGTTGTGATTTCAGTTTTGGACTTTTTGTGTTTAAGGTGTCTCTGGGACATCCATTTTGTTATGTGCAATAGGCAGTTAGAGATGTGAGACTGAAGGGTGCCAAAGAGGGTATGGATGGATAAGTATTTTTGAGAATCATCAGCATAGATTATAAGACACTTTGATGACTTTGGAAGAGATAGTGAGGCTGACAACTTTGAGCAACTGTGCCTTACTGAAATCTAATTCATTGTTTATTATTTCTCCTTCATATCTGAAGAGGACCAATGACATCACAGGGTGATATCTGGACTTGCCCATGAACTGAATTTAAGTGAGGCAGTGTTGCACAGCCATCAGCTTCACTCTCTCTTCCAGAGTCAACAAAGTCCAGGGACAGAACAAAACTCAGGAAAATGGGCCATGGCCCAGGATCAGTGCAGCTGCACTGTAAGCTACTGGTTTTCCCAGTAGCGATATATGACTGTAAAAGAAAACTGGGTACTACAGAATCAATGCTTTTGAATTGTGGTACTGCAGAAGACCTTTGAGAGTCTCTTGGATGGCAAGGAGATCACATAGTCAATACTTAAAAGAAATTAATTCAGGCTATTCACTAGAAGGTCAGGTACTGAAGCTGAAGGCTTAAAGACTTTGGCCATATGAGAAGACAAGACTCACTGGAAAAGACCCTGATGGTGGGAAAGATTCAAGGGCAAAGGAAAATGGGATGGCAGAGGATGAGATGGATAAATAGTATAATGGAAACACTGAACATGAACTTGGACAGATTTCAAGAGCCAGCGAAGGACAGAAGGGCCTGAAGTGCTATGGTATATGGGATCACGAAGAGTCAGATGTGACAAAGAATGAACAACAAAATGTTACCTTTCACATGGGTCTTGCTCAATCTTAATACTAGTGGCTTCCTTTTGAGATTTCATTAATTCTTCCTATCAAAGCTAAATACTGCATTAAGACTTTGGAGATATTCTGTATATCCTATTTGTATATAACTCTTTACATGTTATTTCCCTCTACTAGACTGTGAGCTCCTTGAATGTCTTTTGGTTTTCTTTCTATCCCTAGCACTTATTAGCCCAGTGGCTGGCACATAGCAGGGGTCTCATAAGTATTCACTGATTTGACTTGTTCTTCCCCCTAGAATCTGAGCTTGTTCAGAGCAGAGACTGTCTCTTCTTTACTAGTTGCACCCCCGAGCTCTTAGCACAGTGTTTTACACATTGTACAAGCGCTTAACAAGGACTTTTTCATTCATTTAGCTGTCTGTTCATTTCTAGAATTAGGCATCAGTATTTCCGAAGATTAAAGCTTTACAGTGAGGTAGAATCTTATAGCCCAGTAACTTTAAGCCCTTCATTATAAACATGAAGGAACTTTTGGGCAGATAAGTGATTTGCTTTAGGTCAGAGGTAGTAAGTGACAGAACTGGGATTTTAAGTCAGGTTCCATGACTCCAATTCAGAATGTTTCCATTGGACCACATTTCCTCGTGATCTTACCCATTCCTTTATGTGATGCTTTGAGTCCTTCTCCTTCCCCAAAACTGGCAATAAGGAGAGCAGGATGTGGAATCCATTTCCAAAGGAATCCATGGTCACTGGAATTATGGAAAGAGGAAAGATCTCACACCTGACAACTCCAGGAAGGTTCAGTCACTTTACACTGCCTCAGTCCTTTCAAGACAGTGATCTCACCACATAATCAGCATCTGTTTTTTGTCTTCATGAAAGGGCTCAGATTTCAGGTTGGCAAGGAAGGACACAGATACTGGAGTAGATGTGACTGAGGTCAGAGGAAACTGTAAAAATCCTATTGATTGAAGTGAATGCAAACAGGCTTATTGCTTCAAGACAAGGGCTACACCTGAATTTTAAAAAAAAATTAGCTAAATAATTATAACTGTGGTTGCAGGAAACATCCTTCACTTTTTTTTTTTCCATCCTTCACTTTTCATAAAATGCTTTGGCCATAGAAGACTTTATCAAGCAATTTCCTTGGAAGTCATTTCTTTTAAAAACAATAAAACATTATAGATAGTAGCAACAATGAAAAAATATAACTTTTTAAAAACAAATTTTATTAAACATTAAGGACAAACTAATACAAGCCAGCAAACACATGTAGCAAGGTTATGAGAACCACTCTCCCAACCCCAACCCTACTTGAAGGTGAGGGTATCAGAGTTGGACTACTCTTCGCCTCAAAGTTCTAGGGGTAATCCTGAAGGGTTTGGGAGTGCCTCATTAATACAACAGATTATGAACACCCATCCACTGTGTCCTTCACAATAACAGTAACCATTGATTATTCCCATATCAGCTAACCAATTGACAATTCAACATAAATTATCCAATTAACCTCTACTATGTTTAACAAAGTGTTCCTGAGAACACATGGTAAGACTCAAAGTATGGAACCCTCTGAAATTGGGAGACATTCTCCTTCACCACTTTGGTGTCTAGGGACACTGGACTCAAATTGACTGTACCAAGTTCATTACTAGGTGTGGCACAGCTGATGGATTAACCACTCCCCTGTTTGCAAAACACATTTTCTTGGTTTCTTTGTTCATTCGTGGCTGGTCTCAGTGAAGTAGGCCATTTTTCAGGGTTGCCACAGTTCTTAAGGAGTCTACTTATTCTATCTCTGGTGGTTCCCTTCTTTTCTAACTTCACAAGGTCTTGGCCTGGTCTATTCTGTCTCTGATATTCACACATCTAAGATCAAGAAAGGATGTAGATGATAAGAGATAGAAACACTGGAATCATGGCTGCTAAGGCAGGGGCAGAGTATCTTCAATGACCTGTGGGGCTTTCAAGAAAATGGTGATGAGGGGTTCACCAGGAAAACAAGCTACCTGTTGTCTGGACACTCTGCCAACCACAGAAACACCCCAAGGAAACAAAACTTTTAAGGGAAATGGCAAGAACGATGGCCTTGAATGATACTGAGCAAAATGTCCAGGGAAACTTGGACACAACACACAAAGTACAGAAGAAAAGAGAGGCAAAGAGAGGGTCACAGGAGAAAGGTACTGAAAGGGGTGGTACTGAAAGGACAATAACCAAAAACTGGAATCCATAATGAGCTTTGGAGGATTTCTCCCATTTTCATAATCATGAGATTCTATTGTTCTAGGAAGATAAAACATAATACAATTTAAGTTTTGGTAACATGTTAATACACTAAGACTTCTGAGGCATCCTGTGTAATGTAAACTAGAAAGGGCCTCAAGAACATTAGCTACCATCATATATCATTTTAGGAATATAGGACCAGTTACATTTACATGTACATTTAAAGGTTGAATTGACTTCTCTGTATTTATATTAATTATCATTTATGATTCCAAGTCTTTACGGTCCACAGTGGCTACCCAAATGAACATAAAAAGCAGAAGCAGCACCAGCAACATCAGGAACACAGCTCAGATTATGATATATTCCTCAAGCACCGTCAACAATTATTCATCACCCATTAGGCTCAGGCTTACCTCATGGCCAAGGTCATCCCCAAGTATCTTGCATGTCATATGCCCAGGGATCAAAGTTAATACTAAGGCTCTCCCAATACTACCAGCAGTAACCTCTGCTCAACCAGCAGAACCTTTCCCTCCCTGAAGGTCCATGGGAGGATAACACTAAATCTTTGCTCCTTTAGAGGCCTCTGGAGAAGGCAGGGATCTCTTCTCCCATGAAGCCTAAATAAGGACTCTCTGAACTGCATCTAGGGACTCAGAATCACAGTCCAGTCAGCTGGGGGAATCTTCCCATACTTCTTCCATTCATGAAGACTCACTCTAGTATGAATTCTCTGATGGACATAAAGTAGTGTCCTCAGTCCAAAGGCCTTCCTACATGCATTACACTCTTAAGGTTTCTTTCCTGAATGAGTTCTTTGGTGTTGAGTAAGCTGTATCCTCACTCTGAAGATGGTCCCACATTCATTACATTCATAAGATTTCTTTCCAATATGAACACTTTGATGTCAAGATTTGAGTTGTAGAGGATAGCCTTCCCACACTCTTAAATTTATAAAGGATATCTCCAATACGAATTTTTAAGATGTGCCTTTGTCTTGAAAGCCTTCTGACACTGACTACATTACTAAGTATTCTATTCAGTATGAATTCTCTGATGCACAGTAAGCTGTGACTTACTCATGAAGTTCTTACCACATACAGTACATTGATAAGGTTTCTCGCCAGTATGAATTCTTTGATGTCGAATAAGACCTGAGTTATATGGGAAAGCCTTCCCACACTCCTTACATTCAAAAAGAATGTCTCCAATATGAATTTTCTGATGCACAGTAAGTTGTGTCTTAATCCTGAAGGCCTTCCCACATTCACTACATTCATAAGGTTTCTCTCCAGTATGAACTCTTTGATGTCGAATAAGTTCTGAATTGTAAAGAAAGGCTTTCCCACAAGCCTTACATTTATAAAGCATCTCTCCAGTATGAATCCTCTGGTGCACAGAAAGTAGTGTCTTACTCCTGAAGGCCTCCATACA